GGCAGGACAGCAAGGGGTCTTTCCCTGCAGCCACCCATGCTGTGAAGTTTTGTGGATTCAAGGGCACAGATAATGCCATCATCACCCTGGTATCCAGAGACCCCGATGAAATGAAGCTATTCATCCCCTTAAAAAGTGAAATATATGCTGAATTAAGCAATTAGCTGGATCAGGGACCAAGTGTGGACACAAGAAGGACATGTCACAGTTGTCTACCTAACAGCACTATATTCAACCCAATGCTTCCAACTACTTTGTTCACCCCAAACCCTGCTAGTAAGGTAGAGAAACCCTTGGAGAGGGACAGATCTATAGTCCATACAGAAAGGTTGTCAGCATACGTTTTACCTGGCCTGGGCAGGTTTCATAAACAAACTGGCTGAGGCGATCTCCAAATTAGATTCACTTTAGGGAACTGGCCTGCTACTAGCACACACACCCAGGCACACACGAGAGCACAGCAGCTACTATCAGACTTCAAGGGACACTGTTTTCCAGCAAGTTTCTTGCCTATGCCTAGTCTCCCTCTCCAGATGTCTGGGAAGCTCCCATGTCTCATTCACCCCAGACTCTTGAAAACATAAGGAAGAGAAAAATTGCAAGGAATTTTCTGAAACTGTGACTCCCCTGTTCAGAGAGCGCAGTGCCTGAACAACAGCTACTGCAGCTAAGTGCTTTAGTCCATCAGATGCCAAATGTTGCAGGCAAGAGGCAGAAATACAAGCAAGTAAAGCAGTGGGATAAAAACTGGATGAATAAGACGAGTGCGACTGATGGTCACTTGCACTTTTCTCCAAACACAGGTGCCTGCGTCAGATAGAAATGGCTCCACGAGTCATGATAAAGCACTGCACGATCACTAAGGGTTTACTGGAAACGTCTCTGCAGAAGCGAGAAACAGATGAATGGGTCAGACTGCATCGCCTCTTGTCATTTACAGTAATCTCAGGTGCCAACATTTCTGAACTTAAGGCAGCTCCAGCCACAAGCCTCACCCATCCCAAAATATCAGCGAAAGCTTAGGGAGAAACTCCAATGCAACAGCAGGAGAGCAGTGGTTCTCCTTGCAGATGTCCCTTCAACCTGAGATCTCTGTCAGTTTTGGTTTGTGTCTGCACACACCTGAAATAACAACATAAGGCTCGTTTGATTCCTAAAGAAGATGCTGTATCCTTGAAGCTTACTAACCTGGAGGTGAAGAACCAAAACATTTCAGAATCCGTTATTGGAACGAGTTTCATTTTTATTTATTCTAGTCAAGCAAATATTAAAATTACGCTCTCCAACTCCAGAGTTCACATTAGACAGTTGCCCACTCTTGATCCCATACAAAGAGCATCCGCCTGCCAACTCGGTCTTTAGCTCGTGCTCATCTTTTCTAAAGTGAACTTGACTTGTC